ATCGTTTACGGACGTGTCTGTTACGTGTCTGGAATTTTCGGAGTTTGGAGTTTTGTGAATTGACTATTACGAAATAAAGAGTGATTTTTATCTTTTGGTTAGGCAGTGGATAGCTAGTTAAAGGTAATCTGGAAGCGGTGGAGCGTGGAACGGGATTCGCGGGTTGAGTGACTCAGTGTGTGCGCTGTTGCGTGAAGGTGTTGGATCCTGGAATTGGCGGGAAACCTTGGGTTCGGGTATAGGGGACCCTTATGCCGGGGGGTGGCTTCGGGTAGAGAAGACCCTAACGCTTGGGGTGGGGGCCATGGGTTTCGGGTATAGGGACCCTACTGCCCGGGAGTGGGTGTCTGCTTGGGTGCTAGTAGTAGGCGCCAGGTGTCGCTGAGCTTGAAACAGATGTCTTGGGGTAGGGTGTTGTGCCGGAAAATCTCGATGGCTTCTCGAATTCTCCTTGGGAGCCAGTTCTGGGTGGGAGCGATGAGTTCTGCTTTGTCCCATTCGATGCGGTGGTCCGTGGAGTGTGCATGTTTGATGATGGCCGACTTGTCGTATTCTCCTCGTCGGCCGTGCGAGCGGGGTTCTTGGAGTCTGGTGGGGAGGTTCTTTCCCCGATGTATACTTGGCCGCATTCATACGGAATGCGATATACACCGGGGCGACTACTGGATGGGGGTTTCGGGTATGAGTGACCCTAATGCCACGGGGGACTTCGGGTATAGGTGACCCTAACGTCCTGGGGGAGGGCTTGGGTGCGGTAGCCGTTCATCTTGAGGGCGGACTTGATGTGGTGGAGTTCTTGGCGCAGGTTGTTCTGGTTGCAGATCTCGTAGGCTCTGCGGCCCAGGGTGCGGTTGACTGAGGTCTTGATGGCTGGGTGGTGGATAGATCTCTGATGCAGGTACTGGTCGGTGTGGGTGGGCTTGCGGTGGACACGGTGGTTTCTGGGTTTCTGGACAGGTGAACATCTAAGAAGGAGAGGTGTCCGTCTTGTTCTTGTTCCATGGTGAAATTGATAGTGGGGTGTTGCTTGTTGAGGTACTCGAGGAATTCTTGGAGGTGATCTTGACCATGGGGGCATATGTCGAATGTGTCGTCAACATAGCGCAGCCAAATGGTGGGTTTGAGGTGGGCGGTGAGGGGATCCCATGGAGGTCCCATCTGTATGCTCGTAGAACTGATCTTGGAACTTGACGTAGCTAGAAGAAACGCAGAGGCGGATGAGGTCGGCGATCTGGGCGGAGGAGAGGGTTGTGCGGTCAGCGATGGAGGGGTCGCTGTCCAGTCGATCTTTGGCAATCTGGCATGCTTCTTCGGTGGGAACATTGGTGAATAGCAACACCACGTCGAAGCTCACCATGATGTCTGT